TATGGCCCTGCTGGGGGCCCCAGACGGAGTCCGGCCGGTGGTGAAGCCAGACCCTGCTCTGCCTGGGGGACCCCGCAGGCAGCCTCCGCCGGCAGCCCGGTGCCAGGGCCACACTGGGCTCTCGACAGGCCTTCTTCTCTCAGCAAATGTGGCAAAGGGTGATGCTCCTCCAGGCTGGCCCATGCCCCAAGCTGTCCGCAGAGCATCAGGCGAGGTCCTGGCCGGCCTCCTCTGGGGCTTCACAAGCCTCCTCCCCCAGCGAGCCCCTTGCTGGAGCACAGACCGGCTCCTCGGCCCGAGACCCGCTCTGCCCATTTTGGCACAGCGTGTGCCAAGCAGATCTTACGGAGCGATTCCCAGGGAATCAGCGCTGCGAACGCAGCCAGTTCACACGCTCTGCTGCTCAGCTGCGGGAGCAGCTCAGCCAAGGGCTGGGCAGTGCAGAGCGATGCGGTTATCTCTGCTCTGCTTCGGGGATCACAGACCTGTCTGGCACTAGACGGGCTTTCAACAGATCATTCAGGCTCTTCCCCCCCCAGTCCTGCTGCAGTTACTCATCCTCGCAGCCACCCAAGCGCTGTGACCACCCATCGTGCTGTCAGCTCACCCAGCCCAAGGCTGGCTGAGCACCGCTTTTCTGCTGGCAGTGAAGATACAGAATGGCTTTTGATCACAGCCAGTCTTGTCTCCAAGGTCTGGCTCAGCCCTTCTGCCCCTGCTTGAGGACGAGGAACCTGTTCCAGCGAGCTCAGTGCTGTGAGCGGCTCGGCTCCCGCTTACCCTGAAAGGGCTCTCCGGGGCCATCCCAGCTCGTACCCTCCAGCTCGGGCTCAGGCCAGTAACGAAACACAGAGCCATGGACCAGACATGGGGCTTCCCTGGTCCAGAGCCCAGGGAGCGAGCTGCCCGCAGTGTGCATGGGGCCAAGGCTCTCGCTGCGAACCTCTCCGAGCTGCAGTCACAGGCACGACCAGAGAGTCGTTCTGGCTGCCAAAGGGAGGACAGACGGACAACAAATCAGTGTTTGTTTTACTCTAGACAAAAGAATATTTTTCGTGTCGGGGCAGAGCCAGACTCCAAAGCTATCACAGACTGCTTCAGCTCTATCTCCACAGCAAACTCTGACCTTTGGAGCTTCCCATGTTGTTTTTTCAGTGTCTGTCTTCCAGATAACGAGCAGTTCTTGCATTTCCTCATGTCTCATTCTGCCGGTGTGGAAACACGATCACACCCTGTCTGCTCATTCCGCTCCCCTCTCGGAGCG